CCCGCCACAAGGCAGTGAACAACTTCACAGTCAGTGCTTGGCCTCCCTGGCCTGGAAATGTTCTGCCCAGGCCCTTAGGTAGGGCGTTGCTTATGGCTGTTAGCTCCTGTTAGGTCCTGGGCTCCTCTCACCTCCCCCTGGTGCTCCATTGCCCCCCACCCTCCCCGGCAGCCTCACACCTCCTAGATTCCTGTTAGCACAATTCACTCACACACACACAACTCAGACTGCTCTCCAGGCCCACCTTTGCAGTGCCGCAAACTCATTAAGGTGTTGGGGACCATCAAGGAGTCATAGCATCAGTTCGCTTTGAAATCAGGGTTTTCTTTATTGTGAGCAAATGTGGGGGGATGCTCTCGCCTCTCCTGACCAGTAGGAATCCGGAGCTTGCATCTCTATTTGGTGTGCAAGGTTATTGTAGAGCTCAGGCCACACAGCGAGTCCTGGGAAGGCAGGGCAGCCACGTGGAGCGTGGTGCTGGGGAACTGGTGTAAGTGTGTGGCCTCAGAGAGGACCGGGCGAGCTCAATGCTCCACAGGCGAGCCGTGAGACATAAATCCTTGCAGTAGATGCTCATAACCGTTCCTCACACGGCGCTCTTACAGGATGGTATTTGCAAGCACTTTGTCAAGGTGATAATTCACTGGAGAGCCTCTGTGCCTTTCTCCTCCTTGGGTTGGAAATTCTTCATAGCAGAAGTCATAGGAACTTCAGAAAAACCCAGGGCAGATGCTGTTGATCTTTCCTTTGGCAGTCTCTGGAAGGTCATCCTCTGAAGGTCATTTTGATGAAAATAATTCCAAAATGAATTTAAACACAGTTCACCAAGTAGCCTCTGGAGTCGGCATCCACTTACATTTGGAATCCTGATGGATTCTCCGAAACGAGCAGCAAGTCAAATTCTAGAAAACCTTGTTTAAATGATTTTTTTAAGCTCTCCTGGTGTCAGACTCAGGAAGCATGTTGTTTATTGGCAAAATTCTCAATTTTTCCTTTCTACTATCCATATTCAGAGTGATCGTGCGTGTCTCTGTGAGTGTGTTAGTCGAAGAACAGCACAAAGGATAGCATCTTTGGGGATATATCTTAGGGGTTTACATTTAATTATTTGGCTTGGAAATGAATTAAATGTAAGTTCCTTTGCTGGGAAATTATACACTACGCATTCTTGATTTTACGTTGCAATTGAAGGATAAACCTGTTTTTATAAAGATTTGCTTAAAAATCAGCCTGACTGCCACAATATTGGGTGTGCAGGACCCCACCTGCTGATGCTAGGGAGTATGTGAATCATGGCAGGACAGGGGGATACTTAGGCATTAGGTCCTGGAATTGACTCTGGGCCCCTCTGTTTACCAGCTCTTGATCACAGCGTCTCTGAGTGACAGTGCTCTGTAAATTGCACAAACCTTCCGCAGCACATTTTACGTCCGACAATCCCAACCTGGATGTTTGTTTCAAAACAAACACAGCATGGCTGACCGTCAAATTTCTCGTCCTGCTCAGCAGCCTCCAGTAAGAAAAGCCCACGAGAGCGTTAGAACCAGGATGGAGCAGGACCGCAGGTAATGGGGTGGATAATTGTGGGAAAGGACACCAGAGCCTGTTTCTCAGAAGCTGATGAGGTCAAGACACCTGATCTCTGATCATCGGCTAAACATTTCCCCGAAGTCCACACCGCACATTCACACCGGAACTGCTCATGTGTTTATTTTTATAGCAAAGCCAAAATTCTGCTATGGTCTTTGTCAGAATCCTGGCTAACACAGCATCAGGCTTTTGAGAAAGGTAAAGCAGTGTCTTCTTCAGGAAGGGGTCATCGTGGTGGGTAATGTGGTGGTGAATGTGACACTGTGTGTGCCTGGACAGATACCAGATCCCCTCTAAGTCCTGACTAGCAGGAGCCCAGGTGAGAAATGGGACCGCAGAGTAAATGACTCCCTCTCTGGGGTTATCAGCCTCCACCAGCGGAAACTTTAGAAGCCTTGAGCTGGTATGTGAGAGTTATTCAACATTTCCATAATGCGTATAAAAACAAACAAGCATAGATGGATGGATGTTAACTAGACTCCTGGTGGTGATCATTTCACAATATACACAAATATCAAATTATTACATTGTACACCTGAAACTAATGTAATATTCTATACCCATTATATCTAAATAAAAATAACCATAAAATAAACAAGCATACTTTGCAGAAAAACATTTCCTGCATGAACCACTAGCTGTTGTTGGTAGAGGCTATTTGGTAGATGAGCTTTTCCCTAATTCTCTATTCCTCAAAACAGGGTCGGCAGCAATAGATGCAAACCCACAGGGCTGTGCAGTCAAATAAGATCTTGGAAACTGTAACATGACGGCAAGCCACTCACAAAGCAAATTTTCATATGCAACGGCCTGAGAAGATTTGCAGTAAAGAAAGCCATTTAAGCATTTCCAGACTTTAGTAACAAAGAAGCCTGCTTGGACATCTTAAGGCTTCAGGTTCTGCAAACCCAGCTTGGCAAGGCCACCCAAGATGGGAGACTTGGGTGGCGGGTCCAGGGGGCCTTTTCCTTTGTTCCCGATTGACCTCAGTTGACAGCAACCTTGACATTGCAGGCTTTTCTGGTCATTCAAGCCAAAAAAGGTTAATGAACCTGAAGCAAACACTTAAAAACCCTGCACAATTCTCTGCAGAGAATCCCTTGGCAAAGCGAAGAATCCTTTGCTACTGTCCATTTTCATCTCTTAAATTACATATTTGCTATTAAACGAACTGGCAGCACGCCTGTCTGGGGACCACAGAGAGTCGTCATTGGCTTACGACTCGGAATGATGGAGCTTTGTCCTTGAAATGGGCTCTGTTTACCAACACGGATTATTTGCATTCAGGGAACAGGGGCCAGAATTTCTTCATTCTCCTTTGGAAGCTGTGTTTTTCTGGAGCCGCTGCATTGTCCCGGGTTCTGCAGAGGAGAGAAGGGCAGGCTCTTCACCACAGCTCAAGCTGTGTCCCTGAGGCCCGTGTCCTGTTATCAGACATGGCCCTCCCCCTGGGCCGTGGGAAGAAGGACGAGGAAGAGATTGCTCTCCTCTTCTCCTGGGTTTCCTGCCAGCCCCAGGTTCTGCACTGCTGTTTCTACATGTGGCCCCATGTCCTTAAATCCACTTGAAAACTACAGTGGGCAGAGGTCTGGAGAAGACGGGCAGGGCCTGGGAGCCCTTCTCAGAGCCCCAGAACCGTGGATTGGTCCTCTTTCTTACTTTTCCTCTTCTCCCGAGATCCTGGCCATGCAGTGCTGCCTGGAGTCAGAACTGATGCGTCACACTCCACGAATTCTCCATTCTACTTGGAAGACCAGGCAAGGAAAGGCAACTCCCTTGCGTCTGGCATCCTTCTGGGGCCATGGGGGAGGGCGGCGCTCTCTCCCAGACGGGGAGGGGCAGGAATGTGATTCTTTCACAAAGCTGCAGCGTATCTGTTTCCTGAGGGTGCCGTTTATTCTTCTGGAGGCTGAAAAACTGGGTGAGAATACAGTTCCATTTAACCCAGGGATACGGCTCGTTTGGATTCTTGGAAGGAAGGTCATGTGAACGAGAAATGGGCCTCAGCATTCACTCCCCAAGACTTGTATTCTGTGTTTACTTTTTAAATAAAATTTCAGTTGGTTGATCACAAGACATGGACAGGACTTTCTGAAGGAAGCATTTGTGATGGTCGCATATCTATGAACGTCAAGGGATGTGATTCTCTCTTTAATACTCGGGAGATAAAAATAGCATAGATAGTTCCAGAAAGCTGGCTCTGGGGTCCTATCACTCACCCCCAAATCAGAGCTTTCAGGTCCATTCAAGGGAGAGTTCAGGGTGCATTTTGGCAGTGACGCAGATTAAAGAAATCCTCATGCAAGCCGCAAATCTCGTTCTGGAACCCAAGCCGGGCGCAGTTGCTGAGGGAACTCTGTGCAGTGTTAAGTGAGCTCATTGCTAGCTATTTTCTTGTATATAGCTATACCCCATATCATGCCCAGAACCCACTTAGCCTTGAGGTGTGCTGCACAGGCCTGTGCCAGGTGGTGTATCTACAAGAGCTGATGCTCCCATATGCAAGAGTTTTGTAAGCCAGTTGTTAAACTCTTGGCAGCTTGAAATAGACCATGGTGGGGGAGTATTTACACCACAGAAATTGGCAAATGCTACAAATCACGGGGGTCTTTTTTCTGAGAGATGATTTACCAGCACACCACTGCCTGAGCTGGGGCAGAAGGAAGAATAAGGAAATAGGTCTGGCCAAAGGGCAGACATTTAAGGCAAGTCACCACAATTTAAGGGGTGTGAGCAACCCAGACTTGATTTGATGGGGTCGCCATGCTTGGCGATGTGGTCCCATGGGTGGACTGCAACAAGGACCATTGTATAGGCAGCCAGCAAGCCTCAGGTGTGGGCCCAGGAACAAAAGGTCTTCCCCTACATCAAGTAAGCATGACAAACCGATATCGTGCCATCCTCTCAGTGCTGTGGGAAATTAAGAGGAGCCTGGGATCAGGCTTGGGTGGATCAAGCAGAGGAGACCCACCCAGCCTGGAGAAAGCCGACTTTGGTCAGCAAATGGCAACCTGCCTAAGAGAGCAGTGATGGGGAGCCAGACGACCAGTGGAGACGATGAGAAAGAAGAAAGGCCCATTTGAGAATCAGGTACCTCTGGAGTCAAGATCTTCCATGTATGAAGAGGGAAACCTGGTAGAAGACAGGATTTACTAAAGCCTTACTGGATAGGTACCTAGACAGTGGCTCACTCGAGCACAGAAAGGTAACATGGCCACGGGAGACCAGAGAGCTCACCGAGACACAGCTGACTAACCCAAAGTCTTGCCATGTTAACTATGTTTACAGAGGGCTCATTCTGCTCCAGGCACTATTTTGAGAGCTTTACGGAGAATATCTCATTTAATCTTCACAGAAACATCACAGACGAAGACTGGCTTATCCCATTTTACAGATGAGGAAACTGAGGCACAGAGACTTTATTCAGCTACCAGGTAGAAGAGTCAAGATGGGAACTCAGGTGGTTTGACTCAAAGCTAGCACTGTTAGGATGCCACTTCAGATTCGCTGATCTCTGCTTCCCTGAAGCTTCCATCAACCGGTCATTGTCACAACCCTCTAGAGGCCACCAAAGTGGGACAGCAGTTCTTCCCTCTGACAATCCTTCAGATATTGGAAGACTACTATCAGCTCCCTTGGGTTCTCCTCTGTTCTCCAGGATAAACAGCCTCTGCTCACTCAGTCGCTTCTCCTGGGATGTGGCTGGGCCTCCCGCACCGTGGTGAATGGGCCATGGAGAGCTCAGCCCCACACGCTGTATGTGCAGGATCCGTACAAAGTAGAGTGCAAACACCGTGCCCTTTGCTCTAGAAGTATCGATGTCTATTAAGACTCCAGCTAGTGAAAAAACAAGCCACAGAACAGAGTGTTAGTAGGGTTCCATTTTTGTAAAATAGTTATTTAAGTAGAGTAACATACATGTGTACACACATAGGTTTTTTTTGTTTTTTTAGGAAGATTAGCCCTGAGCTAACTGCTGTCAATCCTCCTCTTTTTGCTGAGGAAGACTGGTCCTGAGCTAACATCCGTGTCCATCTTCCTCTACTTTATATGTGGGACGCCTGCCACAGCATGGCCTGCCAAGCAGTGGTGCCATGTCCGCACCCAGGATCCAAACCAGCAAACCACAGGCCACCGAGGCGGAATGTGAGCTCTTAACCACACTCCACCGGGCCAGCCCCCACACATAGTTTTTATTATGCACAGAAAGAACCCTCCCAAAGGATAAATATCAAATGAAGCCCTGCTATTAAATGTAGGTGGTGAGGTTGGGGACGGGGACAAGGAATTGGGAAATTTCACACTTCACACACTTTGATATTGACTGAAGTTTTTATAACAATTATGTATTATTTTATTTTTTTGACCCAAGAAGGACAGTCATAATGTATTATTTTATTATTTAAAAAATAATAATTGACTTCTAAAAGTTAGTCAATGACTCTTTTAAAAAAAAAAAAATCTGTTTAGAAGCTATCTTTTAGAATACTTCGAGGGACTCTGCAAGAAGCCAGGCAGAAACTCATCCATCTAATCATTTCATTCTGAATATAAAGATTTAATCAGAATTTAACTCACCCTTCTCCCCTAAAGGCTAATAGGAAAATTTGAAATTTATGGGTCCAGGCTCCTGCTGTGGGCTTCAGGCAGCAAGGCAGTTTTCCAAAGATGAGGTAGACACGTGACTCCCCGTGCACGGCCGGGTTTCAGGGATGACACGCCGGTCAGCTGTGCACGTTCCTGGCCCTTTTCCAGCCTGTGTAACTAAGGAGGGTACAGACCAACCTATGATGCTGCAAATCCTTTCAGAGATGGAGCCGCTTACTCGTCCTCCTCATCTGCTTCCGAGGATGCTCAAGGACTTTGTAACCCCCCAGAGCAGAGCCTAGCGTAGGAAAGAGAGACGAAACCTCCTGTAGCCCACGTTCAGGCACAGTCACAAAGCTTTACAGTTGATGAAACACAGTGCTGAACATTCTGGAACGGATGAGGCATGGCGCTGAATGCTTTCTTTGTCTTTGCAGAGGCTGTGGCACTGCTTGGACAGGCGGTAATGGCAACTGAGGCACACGGAAGGGAAGTGGGCTGCCCAGGTACATACCACTGGGACTAACCCGTGTTCTTTCCAGTCCACGACCACATACTTGAACTAGAATGTGAACATTCTGGAGCCTAATTCAAATACCACTGAGGGGGTTAAACTATGTCAACCTCTATGGGAAGCAATTTGGAGAGATCTGCCAAAATTTAAAATTCTCATGTTCTTTGCCAATTTCACTTCCAGGAACTTATGGTACAAATATACTCATGTGTTGAAATGAAATGTGTCCATGCTCATTCGTTGTAGCATTGTTTGTATTACAAAAATTGGAAACAGCCTAAATATCCTTAAATAAGTGATATTCAAATAAATTAGGGCACATAAAATGGAATCTATGCAGCCTTTAAAAAAGAAGACCACAGATAGATAAACCCTGACGTGGAGTGAGCTCTAAGATGCGGCATTAAATATTCAAGTAGGGAAAGGCGTCTGAAAAGTGTGCACAGTCAAGGGTGTCCAAAGGATGATGGGGAAAGACGTTCATGCTTAGGATGCATGTTATATGTCTGAACTGTCTCTAGAAGGTGATACAAGACACAGGTTACAGTGATTGCCACTGAAGAAGGGGACCCGGGATGAGGGGGACGGGGGCCAGCGGAAGGGGAGCTCACATTGACTCTACCCATTTCCTATCTTCTGAATTGTGTACATTGTTTATGTATTGCCTGTTTAAATTGTAAAATATAATTTAAAAAGAAGGAAAGTCTTGGTCCATGAACTTTGGCCAACTCTCCAGATACACCCTATGGTTACACTGGGCTGAGAGCTGTTTTGCCATCAGGGCTGTGACAAGAGCAAAGAGGGTCCAGGAAGAGGTGGTGGGAATCTGGCACATGGGAGGGGACCAATGGGATTCATGCATAAGAGTCATGGGTGGGTCACGGAATCTCAAGTCGGAACAGGTCTTAGTGTCCTGTAACCCAAATCTCTGCCAGACACATGATTCCCTTCCACCACGTCCAACACTGACCTTCGGCTCTAGAACCTCCATCTAAGACATCATGATGGCAAGTTCATGTCTGCCATGAGCATTAATGAGAAAGGCACAGGGAACCACCTCGCACTGTGCCTGGCACGTGGTGCATGTTCCATAAACGGCTGTCCTGTTGAACGTGAACAGTGCAGAACGTTCCATACTTGACGGCAGACCTTGTACCCTCTGGTATTCTGACCACTTCCCCTGTCGTGAGCATTTCCCACCACATTGTCTTGCAATGGCTGTGTAATATTCTGCTGATGGGGAGCTATAATTTTCTTAACTGCACGTTTAGTTTGCTTTGAAATTTTCAGACAAATACGAATACAGATGAGTATCTTTTTGCACATAGCACGTTATTTTTCAAAGGCCCTGTTTCAGCAAAAATATTCAATTGAAAGACTGAACATTTTTTGGCTGGGGGAGTGTTCGTGAACAATAATACGTTGCTATGACATTGACACTCTGGGGCACCTATTCTAAAAACAAAAGTCCAAAAGAAATGCGCCTGGGGGGAGCAGAGGAGAAAATATGAATGTAAATAAATATGGACCCAGGTGAAAAAGCATCAAAGATTAGTCTGGATGGAAGAACCGTATTATCCATCTCAAATTCTTCTCTGGGAAAATCAGTGTCCTGTAACATTTCGGGACTTACACGCTGTTTTGGCTAAAAGCAAAAACAGCAAGAAGTCTGGTATTTCAAAAGGATAAAGAGGCATCACATCAAAATACAGAAAGTTTTCCTTTCCTCTGTCCCCAAAGAGAAATATTGTACCTGTTGAAAGAAAGAGGGAGAACTGGCATCTTACAGGCAGAAGAGTTGGCAGCCCCTGTCCCCTGAGGCAGAGGCTGGGGTCCTGGAAAGAATGGGATTTTGCCAGGGTCTGGTATTTTGTCAGCATCCTTGCCTTCTCTGGAACATCCCCATTGTACCGCTGAGTAAACTAAGGCCAAACTTTCCCAGGAGCTCCATCAAAGCTGAGCTCGGCCCTGGCCCCTGACCTCCACTCTGCTGTCGGCCCCCTTTCCCCCTCCGCCCTCCTCTTCCTCTGTAGGTCCTCACAGCAGACCCCTCTGAAGCCCCCTCACCACCCAACTTCAGAACCATGTCGATTAACTCCACCCCAGCACTTGTTGTGGCAAAAGGAGAAGGCTTCCTTTTGCTGGATGATGTCCTGACCTCACGGCAGCTCTGATGCCATTTTCTTCCTCTACTTTCTCTTTCCAGCTTCTATGACACCATCATTTTCCCCCCTACCTTTAAATCTTCCTATGCCCAGAGCTCTGTCTTCAGACTTCTCCTTCCCTCCACCCTCCCAAAATCTCCTCACCCCAGGTGGCCTCATCTAACACCTTCTAAACACTGATGAAGCCCACAGAGCAGCCAGCATCCGAGGTTGTCTTACCAGTTCCAGCTGCTATAACAAAACACAGCAGACTAGGTGGCTTATAAACAAGAGAGATGTGCTGCTCACAGTTCCAGAGGCTGGAAGTCCAAGGTCAGGGTGCTGGCGTGGCCAGGTTCTGGTGAGAGCCCTCATCCTGGTTCATAGCTGGCGCCTTCTCGCTGCGTCCTCACCTTGAGGAAGGAGAGAGGGAGCTCTCTGGGGTCTCTTCTACAAGGGCAGCAGTTCCATCATGAGGGCTCCACCCTTGTGACCTAATCACCCCCCAAAGGCCCCACCCCCTTATACCATCTTGTGGGTTAGGATTTCAACATGTAAATGGGAGGGGTGAGGCACGAAGATTCAGACCACAGCAGTGGGTATTACTGGATGCCTCCAACTTACAATGTCTACCTGTCTAGAATACAATTCCTAATTCTCCTCTCAAAACACGCACGCACACACTTCTCAGGTTAGGGAAAGGAGGGGTTCGTGGCCTCTCCATAATCTAATTTCTCTTGCCCCACCTTCTGATCGATGTACAGGCTTTGTCACAACCAAGACCTGAGACCAAGTCCCACTCTTTCCTCTTTACTTGGGTGGGCATGTTACACGATTGTTTTGATACTCACTTTCCTCACCTGCAAATTGGGGATAACAACTCCTATGTGATAGGGTTTCTCTTAGGGTTAAATAGGATTATAAATATCAAAGTGCTTCACAGAATCTCTAAGCCAAAGTCACCTGCCCACTGGCCATGGCATGGGGTGGGCTGCTGCCGTTACCCTGGGAGGCGCCAGCCCCACCCAGATTTGGAATTAACCTTTGTTGTATCCCTCAAGAAGGTCTTCTGCCCACTCAGACCGTGGTGGCCTCTCTTCAGCTCACCCCAAATCTTGGGGTCCTTATTCATTCACCCTGCCTCACTCAACTTCGGCATAGTGGGCTCTGCCTTGTTCCTTTCATCCTTCGCTAAGAATGTTTTGGAAAGGAAGTACTTTGCCTTACAACCCGCCCCACTCTCCCAGGTCAGACTTGGGAGCATAAATAGAGAAGAAACTCCAGTGAAAGATATTTTCATAAGCACCAGAAGTTTAAATGTGTGTAATTTGAAAACCTCAGAACTACCACTCACTATGCGGGTTTTTCAATTTCACTTTACTTTTTTAAATCAAATATTGCTCCTCTTCATGCTAGTGGGAGGCCCCTGGATTTAAACATGACTCGATGCTTCCCTTTTCCGTAGAGATCCAGACATCAGAACTGTAACTTCCAGTGTTTCAACTATGCCCTCATTTTAAAATCCACCATGTCATCTGGTTTGGACCCAGTGGTCAACATTCTTTAGCTTGCTGATATCTGTGACCCAGTAACTTAGCCTGCTACAGGGGAATATTCAATCAACATTGGTTCCTTCTTCCCCCGCAACCATTTCAGACACAACATGCTTCTGATTTTCTGTCTTGTAGGAGATTCAAGCCCTGAGTTCTGAGCTTACTGCAAGAAATCAAAGGGATTATAGTTTTATTTTCCTTCTGTTTCTATGTACTTGGTTTACTCCCCTTTTAGCTCCCTTCCTAGATAAAACAGATAAGCATTAGAAAAACTAAAAACTGAAGACAATAGTGCTCACTTCAGCGTCCTAATGTGACTGCAGAAACATCTAGTGCATTGCTTTCTCTTTCCTAGTTTCCCCAGGAATATTGCCTGTTTCTTTACCAAACAGATCAGAGTTTAGCTTGATAAAACTCACAAAGAACCGAGGGTAAGCGATGTCTCTTGCGTCAGCTGATCACTGAAAACTAAAAATCACCGTGCTAGGAACAAAATTCGAGGCACGCAGCCTGGTCCTGAGTGTCAGAGACACGAAGTGGGAACCCAAACCTGCCTGTCAGCCCTCTTCTTGTAAAGAAACAGGAAGGGAAAAGAAAGTGAATTCAGGCTACTTTGAGCACATCTTGGGTGTTGATTTAGAAATCCTGATGGCCGGTTGCATCAGACACCAGAAAAGCGTAAATCTAGGAGCATCTATTGGCGGTGCGCTTCCCTGAGAACTCAGGATAATGAAGCACCTGATTTAAGCTCTTTTTGGGATAAACATGCCAAGGTTCTAATTCTGTAAAGGGATCATAGATCAACCCAGATCTGGATAATGAAACCAGTGGAGTTTTAAACACTCATCAAATGTTGTGTCTGGCGCATCTGAATCCTGGAGTTTATCTTATTAAAATAGAATGCTGTACTGGGGAGAATGATAGTGGGAGCCAGGAAGACTTTCTAGATTACTAAAAATATGTCTTTTTTTAAATAGGGAGAAAAAAGTTGCTTTGAGGTCTAATGAGTGTCTGGCTGTGTTCTTGATAATTCTGGAGAGTTCAGGACCTTTCAGGTATGCAAGCCTTATCAGTCAACTGTTGCTACATGACCAACCACCCTAAAACTTAATGACTTGAGACAACAATCATTTACTGTTTCTCATGAGTCAATGGGTTGGTTGGCCTGGCCCGACTCATCTCAGCTCTGCCCCCTCAAGCATCTGTGGCCAGCTGACGGGGCAGCTGTGGGTTGGTTGGTCCCAGATGGCCTTGGCTGGGACCCCTCAGGTCTCCTCCACATGGCTTCTCATCCTCCAGCAGGTTAGGTTGGGCTTCTTCTCATGGACATAGGAGGTTTCCAAGATAAAGAGGGAGTGTCCGCTTCCTCTTGAGGCCTAATTCAGGACTAGCTCACCCTCCTTTCTGCCACATTCCAGTGGCCAGAGCAAGCGACCAAACCAGTCCAGGTCCCAGTGATGGAGAAAGAGACTCCACTTCTCCTGACAGTAGGAGCTCCAAGGCCACAGGGCAAAGGGTGTGCATACTGGAACAGTAGAGAACTGTGCTCAGTTTTAGTCAATCTTAGGGGACCTCAGCCTCTGGTGTTTGAATACTGTCATGTTAATAGCTGCCCAAATTCCCTGTTGGAACATGGTAACCAGGAAGCCAAGACAAAAACTGGAAGTTTGACCCAGGAACAGGAAGCAAAAAACCTGTGAAGGATACTTACCCAGCCTGGCTACGAGAAAAGTGTGATGTGTCCTTTAAAAAAGCCAAAGACTAACTAAATAAATAAACAGGTAAAAATAAAGTTGATAAGGAGAAAGGAAAGAAAGAGCAGAACAAAACAACCAAAGTTGAACCAGTTTCGGAGAAATGGGTCATGATGGATAACCCAAGAGGGATATTTATAAAAAGAGCTTTGTAGAGCGTGTGGCTTTTACTCCAACACTCAAGATGTAGGAAATGTCCTTTTTTATTTCTATAAAACAAATAAAATGTGCTCTATGCCCACAAGGACAGGGCTGTTGGTAAATCCAGTGGCCGCCTTCTCTGAGCCTCCCTCCCAAGCCCATGCAACTGCTGCAATGGTCTGGAAGCTTATGTCCAGGCCTTCTTATGTCTGTCCACACTGGTCAGCTCCGATAGGCTCACAGTCCAAGCCTGAACATGGGGATCTTCATGCGAGCTGGGATGTTCTGAGCTCAGGGTCCAGCCACCCCCAGAAGCATCACCCAGCCATGCCATGTGCTTGCCACCTCCCCCATGCTGTAGGGAGCAAGACAAGGTCCCTACGACTCCTGAGACCCCAAGCCTTTGCCCCCTTTCCCATCTTGCCTAAAGCTATCTGGCCACATCCAGTTCCATGTCCCGCATCTCCCAGAGCCCCACATGACCTCCAAGACGTTCAGCTCAGCTCTTTTTTATAACAAAGCCTCTCACCTCTGACCTGAGTGCTGAGGTTGTCCAGATTTTCCAGAACTTCCAAGACAGACAAGGAGTCAGGTTAGAGAGGGTGAAGAGGAATTGCTCTCCTTTCTCCTGACCCTTCCACAGAGTCTAAACAAAATATGAATTAATATCTCAATAACCCATCCTGCCACTTCCAGCTTCTCTATAAGCCTGTCATCAGGGCTGCTAGCAAGAGGCAAACTGGTCTGAACCTCAAGCACCCCTTCCCCTAATTGAAAAAGTTTCTGATCCAGCCCCAGCTGCCCCCTTTCCCGTGATGGGGTTCAGGGCAGGCCGCCCCAAGATGCGTCACTCTGGTATGTGGATTATTTCAAGCTGAAGACAATAAAGGCTCAGAGGACTCAGGAAGAACATTTGACCTTCCCCCAAACTGCCTAAAAGAATTTAACACAGAAGGCCTGTTCCAGGAAGGCGCTAATACCGTAAGATAGTTATAGGATAATGTAAAATAGGTGTGATAGAAAAGCACCAACAAGCCCGTTTTTTTGGCCCAGCAAAACTTGTTTAACAAAGACTTGCATTTCCATCTCCATGTAAATTGCCTTCCTCCCCTCTGAAACCCCCAACCACTACCCCAACATCCTCCTTTGCCTTTAGCTGAAGGTGATATTTAAGGGGGCAGCTTCGGCCACGTGGCCGAGTTACTCAGTTTTCCTGGGTTTCTCCCATGTATCCATGTTATTAAACTTGTTTGATTTTTCTCCTGTCATTCCATCTTGTGTCAATTTAATTCGTAGCCCAGCCAGAAAGACCTAGAGGGTGAAGGAATTTTCTCTTCCCCCCCCCCACACCTGCTCACCAACACCACCCCAGCACCTCCTCTCTTTCTTTCTTTTCCAATTTAAAGAAAAAAAATAAAAGTTCAGCAGCTCATGTCGAAAATAACTTTTATTTATGTCATGCTTTTTTTAAAGCAAGATCTTTCTCGATCCTCCCAGGAGGCCTGTGGTCAAGCCTTTTAAGGGATATTCCATGGTGGAGCCCAGATCCTGTTCAGGGCTCTCCTCACCATCATGACTCTGACAAATGCACGCTCGTTCTCAGGTCTCCCAACCATCGACTGAGCTTCACGCTTCTTCCTTCGATGCCCTTCCAGCTGTTCGAATTCAGTGCATCTAATTCCAGAGCCCTTTATCCTAACGTTAACTCCCCTCAGGAGTCTGGAAGGCAGTACTCTGACAACAGGACCATCCTTCTCCTTGGCTTGAGAACTTGGGTCTCCCTACCTCCTCTCCTTCTCTCCCCACGCAGAGCTGATGTGACACCTTGCTGCCTCCCACCCATCCCTCTGTCCCACGCTGCCATCCCCAACCTCCACCCATCTCCCCAGGCCCTGACCTCCCTCACGGTCTGCCTGGCCTTGCTTCTGCCCCTCCCTCCTCCACCCTGCAAGGGAGGTCTCCGCCCCGGGAGATGTGTTGAGCTGTAAAGGAGCCGAGGAGGTGAG